ACAAATGCAAATAACTACTAAGTACAATAATTTATGCAATTAAACATTAAATCCTTTTGACAAATAACTACAATCTACTACTTATCAATTCAAATATCCCACGAAAGTTAAATGACAAAGTTCAATGAACCAATTGTCGAAGAATCCAAACCTTGACAACATACGACATCACCCCACCATAAACTCAAGAAGAGTGTGCTGATATGATTAAACCGAAATCGCTTCATTGCGTGAGGTAGAGGACATAAAGTGACAATGGTTTCGATGAAATAAAAGATGGGTCTTATCATAATCGTACCATCTTTTAGCACCAACCAGTAACAAAATCAAATACGACATTGTTAATAGAAAATCAACACAAATAAAAAAATGGAAATTACTTTGAGAGTGAAAAAAAATATGTGTATTGCAGACACAACAATAATGGGAAAATTATCAAGATCAAAATCACATTGCCACAATTGCAATAAAGATAATCCACTAAAATTGATAATATGTGTGAGTAAGAGTTAAAAAGGGAGAGAGGGGAAGACATAGAGATGGAGCTACCTGGATGTGTGTGTATGTGTGTGTACGTATTATTTCTATTATAGAGTTACTATCTAACAATTTTGAAGAGTTTTCAACTGATGGTAGAGGGGAATTGTTTTGTCTTCACTAGTGCTATTTTTTTTATTATTACTTCATTGTCGTTATTTTTGTTTTTTAAAATTAATGGCCAGTTGCTAGAAATTTCATTGTTTTCATGAGAAAGGGTAAAATTATTATCATTATTGTGCATGGAACCGTTGTTTTGAACAATTGTTTTTCGTCTAATGTGTTGAGGTCAATTGGATAGTTTATTGCAAAGTTGAATTTGTTCGTTGTGTAGGAACACAAGTATGGATAGGAGTTGGATACAACAAAAGAATAGATTGCACCATACTTTCCAATTGGGAGTGAAAAAATTCCTCCAATTTGCATATGCACATAAAGAACCACATAGCAAGATCCCATGTCTTTTTATGAAGTGTAACAACTTCTGTGACTACCCTTAAGAAGTTGTTGAAAGGCATTTATTGATGCACGGGATAGTTAAGAGTTATTTTAGGTGGATATATCATGGGGAAGACTTTTAAAACAATTTTGCTAATGATGAGGGTGTTGAGGAGAAATGTGAGCAAGGTAATGAAGTTGATGATATGCATGGTTTGATAGATGATATTGCCACTAGTCATTTTGGGGACCATTGGGGGGTTGGAGAATAATCTATTAAGTAGGATGTTCATGTGGATGGAGCAGAAGTGGATACATTTCTTAAATTGTTGAATGATGCCAAGCAAGAACTTTATCCGGGATGTAAGAAGTTTTCTAAGCTGTATTTTCTTGTGAAGTTGCTTCATTTAAAAATGATGTATCGCGTGGGCAATAAGTGCTTTGGCATGTTGCTTGAAATATTTAAGGATGTCTTTCCAATGTGTGATTCATTTCCTAAGTCGTATTATGAGTCAAAAAAGGCAATTCGTGACTTGGGCCTTAACTATGTGAAGATAGATGCTTGCGTAAATGACTGTGCAATCTTTTGGAAAGATTATAAGGATTTAGATAAGTGTCCAAAATGTGGGAGCTCTGGATTGAAGTTTGAAGGATCTAAGAAGATACCTCAAAAAGTATTGCGTTACTTCCCATTAAAGCCAAGATTGCAAAGGTTGTTTATAAATAAGAACATTGCTTGTGACATGAGGTGGCATAAAGACAAACGTATCAATGAGGATAATGTGTTAAGGCATCCTGCTGATTTCGACGCATGGAAAGATTTTGATAAAAAGCATGAGTTATTTGCCCAGGATCCTCGCACTGTTAGGCTTGGTCTAGCAAGTGATGGCTTCAATCCTTTTGGCAACATGAGTAATGCTTATAGAATTTGGCCAGTATTTCTTGTACCATACAATTTGGCTCCTTGGAAATGTATGAAGGATCCTTTCCTCATGATGTCCATGATTATTCTAGGACCAAATTCCCCAGGAAATGACATCGATGTATTTCTACAACCATTAATTGATGAGTTAAAAAAATTATGGGAAGATGGCTTTGAAACATATGATGGTTACTCTAAAGAGAAATTTTGCTTGCATGCAACACTACTATGGACTATCAATAATTTTTCCGCTTATGCTAACTTGTCTGGATGGAGCACCAAAGGGTATATGACATGTCCAGTTTGCATGAGTGAGACTTCGTCCAAATATTTGCCAAATGGAAAGAAGTATTGTTACATGGGACATCGTCGTTTCTTATCAACTAATCATAGATGGCGAAAGGAGACTAAGTCATTTGATGGTGAGAAATACTTTAGGGAACCAGTTGAACCATTATCTGGGGATGACATATTGAAATATTTGAATTCTATTGATCAAGTTGTTTTCGGTAAGGCCCTTGAACTAATTCGAGTGAAAACGAGGAAATGTCAGGATAGTGATTTGAATTGGAAAAAGAAGAGCATTTTCTTCAAATCTCCATATTGGAAAACCCTGAAACAATGGCATAACCTAGATATCATGCACATAGAGAAGAATGTATGTGATAATGTGCTCGGCACATTAATGAATATTGATGGGAAGACTATGGACAATTGGAAAGCTCGTAAGGATTTGATGGCAATGGGCCTAAGGTTAGAATTACACCTAAAAGAGGAAATGTCGGGAAAGTGATTTGAATTGGACAAATAATAGCATTTTCTTCGAATTTCCATATTGGAAAACCCTGAAACAACGACATAACCTATATATCATGCACATAGAGAAGAATGTATGTGATAATGTGCTCGGCACATTAATGAATATTGATGGAAAGACTAAGGACAATTGGAAAGCTCGTAAGGATTTGATGGCAATGGGCCTAAGGTCAGAATTACACATTTGTTTTGAAGGTGATAAAGTTCTTATGCCATCTGCATGTTACCAGTTGTCCAATGATGAGAAGAGAAAAATATGTGAATTCTTAACTTCAATCAAGTTTCCAGACGGTTTTGCCTCAAACATCTCTCGATGTGTGAAGATAAAAGAGTGTCGTATTTTAGGATTGAAGAGTCACGACTGTCATATTTTCCTTTAATGGATACTCTTAGTGGAAATACTTGGATCCTTGGGCAAGGAAGTGTGTCAGTCATTAGTTGAGCTCTGTAGTTTTTTCAAACAATTATGTTCTAGGATGTTGTACTTGGATGTGTTAGAGAAACTTGAAAGGCAGATTACTTTGACACTGTGCAAACTTGAAAGTTTATTTCCCCCAACATTCTTCGACATAATGGTACACTTAATGATTCACTTTGCTAAAGAAGCCAAGCTTGCTGGAGCAGTCCAATACCAATGGACATTTCCGTTTGAAAGGTATTTAATAATTTATTTATCAGGTGATTACTTAAGCATCAATCATGTTTTCCTTTTTCAGTTGTGTCTTAATTCTTTTGTTATGTATATTGATAGGTAAATGGGGAAACTAAAGGGATATGTACTTACTAAGGCTCGGCCAGAAGGGTTGATTGCTGAGCATTACATTGACAATGAATGCTTGAATTTTTGCTCTATGTAATTGGGTAATGTTGAGATGAGATTCAATCGAGCTGAACAGAACTATGATGGAGATGCAAAGTTGAGCGAGTTGTCTGTATTTGCATATAATGGTCATGCATTTGGTGGGACCATATACGGTGAGTTGAATAATATTTAGTGGGAAAAAGCTCGGAATTACGTGTTGAATAATTGTGAAGAGGTTCAAAATTTTATAGTGTAAGTTTAATTTTCTAATTACTTGTACTTAAAATTTTATTGTTTGCTCATTAGATTTATGCCTTGGTATTAGCTAATTTTGGGTCATAATGATATATACTTAATGTATAGCGACCACAAGGAAATTCTAAAAGCTGAGAGTACAAGGAACATTAATCGAAGGCATAACTTGCAGTTTCCTAAATGATTCAAACAACGTGTAAGTGCAATTTGAAATCTACCTATTTTTGTTGCTATTATCAAAACAATGTGTATTTGATTATTTTACTAGGTTTCTATTGATAATTTTCACTTCTATCTATAGGTTAAAAATTTGTATCATGAAGGGCCTACTAGCAAAGAACTTTTGTCCCTTGCCAAGGGTCCTAATAATCGAGTGAAATGCTACACAGGTTGTAATGCAAATGGATTTAGGTTCCGCACTCAAGATCGTGAGAGGAAAATGAAAACACAAAATAGTGGTGTGGTCGTAGAGGGAGAACATGATAGAAGGTTGATAGACTTCAATGGCGTGGTCATTGAAGTTATTGAGTTAGAATATCTACTTGGGCAGAATCGAGTTATGTTATTCAAGTGTGATTGGTGGGATGTAAAGAATAGTACATGTATCCAAATAGACAAGGATTGGAAGATTACTAGTGTAAATGTATCATGAACTTGGTAAAAGGACCAACCATTTGTGCTTGCCTCTCAAGCAAAACAAGTTTTTTATATTGAAGATTTGAAGTTACGAAAAAATTGGCGCATTGTAAAGAGAACACAACCTCGCGGGTCTTTTGATGTTCCTGAACAGTTTGAAGAACAATTGATTTCTGGTGAGGAGCCTTACCAAGAACATGTGCCTGATGAGGTTTTTGATTCAATGGAAATTGATGAAATACCAGCATTAGAAAGAGAAGATATGATCACATTAGTATGTACTAATGTAGATAATATATTGCGTGACCAACCAATGGAAAATGTAGATGAAGAAGATGACAACTTTATTAATGACGGTGATATCGAGGAAGATTCCTGTAGTGATGATATTGACAAAGATGATACCTTCATTAATGACGAATGTGACTCTGACTAAAGATAAGGTTTCGGTGTAATTCATTTTATACTAGGAAAACTTTACATTGTTGCAATACTTGTATTTCCATTATATACACACATAGATGTGCGTAACCATTTGTATTTGTGCAATTGATATTCATTTGTTGTATTATTTTGTTGCTTCATTGCACACAAATGGCCGGATTGGGGAAACGAGGAACTGCTAGGCGTGGTGGAGGACAATTATCATTACTGCTTCCAGTTTCATTACCATCTGATAAACAAACACAGGTTGGTGCTAATGGTCGTACATCACCACTCACACAAGAGTCTCATGGTTCCAAGAGTGTGCATACTGTTCCTTTGCCAAAGGGACATGTCGAACATAATGTTGGTATGTTTGTTTAATGGAATTATGTTAAATATTGTTCAAAATATTAATTTATACAAGTTGCATTTTTAATTTTTTATTGAATTTTCTTTAGGCTTTAATTTTATCAAAAAATTAGGTTCTTAACAAAATCATGTACCAACATTGTTCACACTTTATCTTCAGAGTCATCCTCAACGAGGAGGAAATGGGGACCAACCCAAAATATTGATCTTGCAAAAATAAAAAAGCAAGCCGGTGAGAAGCTTAATGTTGAGATGCCAAAAGAGCTTGGGCGAATAGTAGGATTGGAATGTCAGCCACTTATAACAAAGTTGGGATGTATTGTTTGGAAGCATGCACCTCTTCAAGTGACAAAATGGGTAAAGATTGACAAAGCCGATTAGGAGAGTTTACTCAAAATGGCCAAGGTAAGCGCTTTTCCAAGTACTCAAACATTTCAACTATACTGTGTATTTTAATGTAATGAGACAAAGGGTACATGTAACAAATTCTACATAAGAAATGCATGTTAACCAGAAAAGTCATTGAGCATAAGATATGATGGTTGTTTAGTCTAAAAGAGTATATTAAGTTGAATAGAGGTTGGAGATGTTGCTAGTATGAGAAAATAAACAAGGAAATAAGAGGAGGAATAGGAAACAAAAGTTACTTATTGTTTTATTTTGTAATTCAGTTGTTGTTACCTTTATTTCTCACAGTGCCTTCGTTGTTAATAATGTAAACAATTCACTATTTTTTGTAGGAATTGTTCAATCTCCATGATGAACTGGTTAAAGATATAACATTTGCCCAAATGAACACACAATATCAGAATCATCACCATAAGCTGCACAAGAACTACTTCTTGCCACACCCAACGACAGAAGTAGCTATGCAACATTCACCACCAGGTGTGCCACAAGAAGATTGGAATTATCTTTCTTCTTACTTTTCCTCTGATGAATTTAAGGTTTTTGAACTTACTATAGATACTAAAAAAATCAATTTTACCTTTATTCGTTTAAAATATTTCTAATGTAAGATACTTGTTGTATTTTAATGTAGAAAATGAGTGCTCAAAATGCAAGGAATCAGGCAATGCAAAACACACCTAATGTAACTGGACGAAGTCTTTTGCCCGGATGGGTGTTGAAATGATAGCAACATAATTCTTAGTTATAGAGTGTATCATATGCGTAGTGATATGCTTTAAAAAGTAATTCACATATTTGAAATGATGTAGATTGCTCAAACTGGTGAAGTGCTTGGGCCAATTGAGTTATATAAGATAACTCACGATAGTAATAAGAAACTCTCTTGGGTGAATGACCGTGCACATCATAACTATGTAAGTTATCAATTTGGTTAAAATTTTTGTTTATCATCATATTGATTGAACTAATGTAATCTAAAATTTATATGCCTTGCCATTTTAGGAGAAAATGGTGGAGCTTTAGTCGCAGTCTGTAGGAGAGAATGAAGCACCAGTTTGTGAGAAGGAAATTTGTTTAGAGGTTCTTGGACATAAGTTAGGGTAGATACGTGGTTGTGGGCATGGTCCGAAGCCTAGCCGATCCTTATCTAAGCACCACAATAAATCGGAGTTGGAGGCAGCTAACAAAAGGGCTAATGAGTTGGAAGAAAAACTTAGTGCTCAACAAAAGGACATGAAAGTGATTAAGGGTACTAAAAAAGCAACAAATGAGATTTTGCAAGTACTGATGGAGCAGATGCAAGAAGCAACTCAAAATGTGACAAATGAGATTTGGCAAGCATTGATGAAGCAGATGCAGGATGAGAGGCACATGTCTACCCTTGCACCTGACTCTCTTTCATGGTAGGTGGAATACTTGATTAATGAAAGCTTAGTTTTGATTTTTTTTCCTTTTCTTGTTTTTTTAAGGTGTCATTAATTTTATTTTATTGCATGATAGATGGAAGCAATATGGGGCTCAACTAGGGCAATTACAATTTAGATAAGTGTTCTCATTTTTACTTTTGTAGGATAAATTTAAGGGTGCACAATAATTCCATTTGGAGTATTACAACTTATGAACAAGTTCTTAATTCTTGATTCTACTTGAAATTATGAAATGACTCTGGGGCTTTATAGAAGAAATTGTGCAGTATACTTGCTGATATTATGGTGTTTTGATATATTAATTAGAGATTGATATTGTGATTGACTTGACACTCAATGACAACATAGATCCATTAAATTAGTTTGTCATGGTTGTTAATATTTGATGATAAGACAATAATATGACAGTTAAATTTTTTGACTTTAAGTTTGAGTTAAATATTATTGATTAGATATTCAACTCATTCTCATATTTGGAAGATTAGCTTTTCTTTAGTTGATGCAATCATTTTGAGCAAAATATTTATGTTTGTCAAGCACATGGTGATCTTTCTTCATAGGTTTCATACTTTTTTGTGATTTATTCTTTTTTCTTTTAATCATATAAGTACTATTGTACTTGTGGACAATAGGAAGTAGTTGATGTAATGAGCCTCATGATATATATATTAGAAATTGTGTATTCTTTAATGATGGTCATCTATAGTCTTTTGTATTAAACCTCCCTTAACAATGTTAAAAGTGCTACAATACATTTTTAAGAGTGCAAAGTGCAATACATTATTATCAGAAATTATAAGGACCATTTGGTTGGTTATCACTCAATCTAAACCTTTGATAATAAGCGTTGAAGTTTTGTTTCTTGCATTGCATAAAGTGAAGAGAAGTTTGAAAATAAGACCTAGACATTACCAAGTCTATATTTTTATGATGACATTGTTTCCCAAGCTTTTACTATTTTATGTGATTTAAAATTAAAGAGTTATGACAACTATTATAGTGTTTAATTTTTGCCAAGGTGGTTATCTCTACAACTTCTTTATGAGAATAGAAAACTGTGTTCAAAGGACTAGAATTAATCCGAAAGCACGAAGTACATTTTTTTGTCCGTCATGAAGTTTGTTTTATATCTTCTCATGGTCATGAAAGGAATAAAGACCAACAGTTTATTGTTAATTTTTTATTTTGTTGCTTGAGGAAAACTTTTTTTATTGCTTTTTTTTTTTTTCTGAAGTATTTGTTGAATTGTTTACAATTTTATGATAATTCCATAAGTTTTTGATTTTATAACTAAACTATGATTGAATTTCGATTTGTTTCAAATGATATTGAAAGATTAGGATATCTTAATTACAGATCAATTTTATACAAGGTTTATGAAAGTTGTTATGAATTATTATGTGAGTGACAACCATTATAGTTGTCACTATATAGTTTTGTAGTGACTGCTATAAAATTTGTCACAACATACTTTAAAATTTTATAGTGACAATAGAAAATATGGTCATTGAATAAGTCTTTAGTAACAATTATAAAGCTGGCCATTAAAAGTAAACAAAAATTGTAAGTGACAATCAAAACATTGTCACTACAACCGACAATTTAGTGGCAATAAAACTTTATCTTAATTAGGAACGAAAGTTTGAAATTGTTGCTAAACATATTAGTGACAACAAAAAATTGTGTCACTAATGATTGAAGGATACTAATTAGTGTCAATATATTCCGACACTAAAATATTTTTTTTTGGGCTGAAAATAGTTTTTAAGCGACGGAAACAAACAATTTAGTGATGAAAGTTTAAAATATTAGTGGCGATAAATTTTGCCGCTATTGAGAATGATTCAGTGATGATATAGAATCGTCACTAAAGGTCTAGATTATTTGTGACAACCTATGTAGCTTGTCACTATTAACTATTAGTGACACATCTATAGTGACAACCTAGTGGTATTTTTTTTCACCTCAAAATAATTTTGTGACAAATTTAAGAGTTTTACTGACGACTTTTCTGCAACTAAAGTTGCTGTTTATTGTAGTTTTGATTGGATAATTATACCTTCCTTATATACTCGTTATGCTCCCCAATATTGGCAAATCAAATTTTCAACCCATGTATCAACATGTATACATCTATCCCATATTCGTCTTTTAATTATATATTTGGTAACATTTTTTTCCTTAACATTTTTTCCTTCTTAAATTAGCTCGCAATTGTAAAATTCAAAAGGCACAAGTGTATGCCCATTTATATTTTCGCTTCAAATACTAACTATTCAGTATTTCATCAAAATATTTTTCTTCCTCTTCAAGATTTTTCCACCCCAACGTTTCCCCAACTCCCAAACACGTATTTGTATTAGAATATTCATAAATTCATTCTTCCGTTCACTTTTTTTTGTTTGTTTGTTTCAATGAAATCAATTTACTAGTTTTCGCAATTTTCAAATATTTCAAACTTCATCCACCCCCGCTTAATCACACCACTTACTTTTATTATATCACCATCGTCACATCAGTGCTTATTATACTAACTACAGTTAATCAATGTATTAGTTTTTATTATTCTATTTCACTCAAACCGTATAGTATAGTACAATCAACCATAATTTTATTCCTTCATGACCAAATTTTATCGTAACACCACCATCGCTAATTCTTATCTCAAACCAAAGTGTTTTACCTTATCTCACATACAAACTATCATCCACAAGAATACATTTTGTTCCTTCATAAGTAGCATATCAATATTTTATTGAATATCATGGTACCATGATTCATCTATAACACTACATAAAAATTCCTCACCCTAGGAATTGTATTCATACCAAAGCAATTTATACAAATTCATATTGATCATTAAAGCAATATCATCTAGTCAAAATTTGATAGGTCAACACTCATAAACCATCTTTAGATGATTTCTATAAACACACATCCATTCACAAGTCATTACACTTGACATTCACACATGTATATTAATTATATATTCACATTCATAACCATCTTATATGGCAATCATATGATCTCTCCATTATGGTTATTTAACATATAATGAATACACCCTAGTGGTTATAAACGAGCCTGCCATTTATGGCCATCTCCAATATATCATACCGCCGTAACGGTTATAGCGAGTATGCCATTAATGGCCATCTCCCTGCCACAAAGGCATAATAATGCCACTATCGACTACTTATTGCCACTATCGGCTACTTATTCAGAATTTTAGGCTATATTCTTGCCACAAAGGCACATACATGCCACTATTGGTTACTTACATTTGCTTTTAAGACTATATCATCATATACATTCAATATCATCACATAAATATACCTTGGTCATTATCAACCGCAAGGAAAAAGCGCACTCACACATATATCATCACATCCATCACACAAAAGTTAAGTAAATCCCATAAGTAACAACAATCTACTATACAACTATGATTCCACACAAATTATCAAACAATAACTTTAAACAATCCAATTCCAATCCAATACACATATCACAATATATCACTTCCCCTTTCTCCAATTTTTTTTCCCTTGAACCTTTAGGAGTAACTGCTTGTAATATCATCGTTTTTAACATTAGCACATAGTGTTTCAAATCTCATAAATATGTTTCCCTACATGCCAAATTTCTCACATATGCATGCATATTTAATAGATTACCTCATTTTTCAAACCCTTTGCCAATTAATATGTTAACCACTTAAACATCTCTTGCTATTCATTCCATCTTTTTTGAACTAAATTTTGTTTATAAAATTCATAACCACATATATATAAACCACTTGATCTAAGAGTTTGTATCTAACTCAATTTATTTTGAAAAACTTAAATTTTAAGTGAACTAAGAACCAAGGCTCCATGCCAAGATAAAGAAACATAACAAGATGATAAATTATCTTCTTCTTTTTTTCTCTTTCCTTACTCTATCAAAGACATCCTCCCTTGAGGATAAAACATAGAATTTTTTTCCCTTCTCATAACATTGTCATTAAGAGGATAAATTTTCAACTTTAGACACCTTTTCAACCCAGTCACGATTAGTCTGTACTAACATTAAAATTTCACTAATAGATCGAAAGTTGTCAAGAGTTTTTTTTTTCACTTGCCACACAGAGCACGTATAAGTCACAACTTTACAAATCCCCCATAATCAGCAATACCTTTTATGTGCTATTAATTATAATTTCTACCCCCATAGCTTGTTAGTTGCTATTGCCATGTTACTTTTTATGTTTCCAATTGCCATTTAGTAAATCAAATCCATCGTGTTCTGATTCAAACCTTTACATTAACAACTCTTGAATTACCCATTATTCATATTAGTAATCATTGCACCTTTTTAACCTTACCCACCCCATTCGTTTTCCATAAAAAGAATATAAGAACATTCCATATTCATTCTATCCAGTTTGATTGTAACATCCACAATGTTATAGTGCTACAAATCAATATTAATAATCACACATATACAAAACATTAACATCCTAATGTTTAACTTCCTCTACCATATACAAACACTCTAAGTTGTCCACTGCTAACTAGACCCATATGTCTACAGAACCTATCAAACTTAAACTTTGATACCAAAATGTCATAACCCGACCAAGAGATAGAGTGGACCCCACTTTCTAACACACACATGTACCCTGTACATAAAATTTTTTTTAAAAAAAATGTAATTTAAACTGATTAGCTACAACAACATAATTTTACTCCCTTTGTATCCCAACATTTCTTTTACATGAAATAAACAACCGTAATTTAGTACAATTTATATCTCCCCAACTACAAGATTCAGTAACTACACAAAATGTCCAGACCAGACATGGGAAACCCATTTTCCTCTTATACGCTTAGGCTCGACAATGGACATCTCCTTTCTTTTTGTTTAGCTGAAAGACATACATTTGTGGGTGGGGGGGGGGTTGGGGGGGTGGGGGGGGGGGAGGGGTGAGCACACACG